ATACTCTGGACGACGCTTAGGAATCTAAACCGCCCTGGAGTTGCCGGGAAACTCCCCATACATCGGCATCCTTCACAATGTCAGATCAACCCCACAACCCACTCTCCTTAGCTGCTTCAACAGTGCCCAGACCCCTTTGCAACTCACTTATTCTCTAAAAGCCTTTTAGTTGTTTCTGCTTTAGTGAAAGAAACACTTAATGTCTTAATCAGCCTAATATGGGCAGCAGAATGTGGTAACACCGTAGTTCACTCTGACAGTAGATAACCAATGAATTGACTAGCTATAAACAGAATGACCAGACAGCTATGTTTAGTGTTCAGTCCATTGACGAATTGTTATAGCCTCTAGAAATATATAGCAGCAAAGGGGGGACCAACTCCATATTAATGCCCATATTATTAGAGATATTTTTTTTTACCTTACTAGTCATTTAGCAGATGCTCTTATCCAGAGTGACTTACAGGAGCAATTAGGGTTAAGTGCCTTGCTCAAGGGTACATCGACAGATGTTTTACCTAGTCGGCTCAGGTATTTCAACCAGCGACCTTTCAGTGATCTTTAAATGACTGGCCCAACGCTCTTAACCACTAGGCCACCTAACGCAGACATTTTGGAATGAGATGTTCGACGAGCAGGTGTCCACATACTTTTGGTCATGTAGTGTAGGTCAGCGTGTTATGATAATTGCAGACATAATTATTCACAGAGACATCATACTATGTAAGCCACCCAGTTCCTTTACCGTATCCTGAGCAGCTCACCAACCATTCCTACTTGTTGCTTTGTAAAACAGGACCTCTTTCCCCATCTATAGGCGCAAGACAGGAACACATCTGTCCGACAGTGGCTATGTCTCTCCCGCCCTATAGGGCGCACTGATGAGTCTATTTGTCCTCGTCCTCTATCTGAGCTAAATTGCCATTTGCCACGTAATCTCCCGAGTGCAGAGCATATGCCGCGTTCACATGCTAGTCGGAGCCAGGATACGCGGAAATGTCAGACTTGCTAACAGGTTGTAGTTATAGACGTGCCGCGTTCAATCAGTTAGCAAGTGGGTAAATGTCCGAGTTTCTTAGTTCCGATTAGCACGTGAAAGCGGCAATAGATACAGGTACAAGGGGCGGAGTGCGTGGCAGAGCACGAGCCTGTCGGAACCCGAGGAGAACACACGGGCAAAACCATACAAGTTAGAGTGGGGGAATTATTTTTTGTTTCCCTTGCGAAAATAAAATATTGAAACGTGGATATTGTTGATTGAGTAGGTAAGTAAAAGTATTCGAAAGTAATGCTAATTGGCTGGCTAGCTACTGTAGTTATATTTTCGACTGGTAGAGGTCAGTGACGTTATGGGCTAGCTACAGAATTCTAGCTAACATTAGGGGATTAGCTAGCTAACGTTAGGCTACACGAAAATCTAAAACATGTTTTAGTTGTTGAAGTTCTTAAAACGTAGCTAGTTCCTATATCAGGCTAATAATTAGTTAAATATACCCTGATGCTAAATGTTTACATTATCGCCTATGTCAGTCGGTCACATATTGAGCTCGCACTTCTTCCTGGCTTCATGCACTGTTTGCCTGACTTGGGCTTTAGCAACACTGTCCAAATTCGTTGAACAAACAATCAACCAGATAACTACGTGAAATGACACTTGTATATGGTTGCATGATCATTCCTGTTGATTACCTGTGGGTCTTCTCGTCGAGAAAACCGAAGACTAGGCGAACTAGCTAAATACTAACGTTACGTCTGCATGAACATACATTGTAGCTATTGGATTCATATTAACAACATGCTGTTCACATATTATTTACCCGTGTGGACAACCTCTGTAAATGAAGCTTATCTTGCTGAGCACCAGGTAGTTTGGTATCCTACCTGTTACACTTATCTAGCCTCTTGCACTCTATATCTAGCCTGTTACTGTAGCTATATCTGTCTGTTGTACTGGTATTCTGGTGTAGGTGAGTTTGGATGCATGAATAGACCTAGGCCTACTATCCTACTGCAAACTGACAGAGCTCTATGTAAGATGACAGACAAGGCAGAAGTGTAAAATGCCTGGTGAGAGGCAGTTGGGTTATTGTCATCTTTCCTGCGTGTTTATCTGTCATCTATCCATATAGGGTAGATATCATATCAACAGACGCACAGTATATTAGAATCGATACTGAAGGACCGCTGGGTCTTGGGCTGAGACCCGTAGGACGTCACTTCAGTGAACCCTTTCCACTCCAAGGGGCTAATATTCTGTGCAGGAATAAAACCCACAACCCTGGTGTTGCAAACAATCAGCTCAAACCAACATCTCAAATCCTCACTTCTCAATCGCTCTTTAATCTCTATGAGAGGCAGTGCCAGTACAGTCTGTGAGTCTCATCATGTGAGGTTTGAGGCTGAGCACTACTTGTACTGGATTTTTAGGGTCACTAGTATAAATCAGGGCTGGTTAGTGACTTGCCTCCAGACACCCATTATACAAGATCCCACTTCCTTTTCCAAGGGGAGGGGTTGTTTCAGGAGCCAGGATACTCTATATATATCTCCTGCTGTGATAAGGAAGGGCAGAGCTGTTTAGAATTATTCAGGAAAGATCCCAGTAGGCTTTATTTATCTGATTTCTTTATACACTGTTTACATGTTATAAATAATGCAGTAATAATCAATAGGCACAATATAGAACAATAACCTTAACGTATTTGCACCATAACATGGCCAATGTTGGACCAATCCATATGAAATCCTGGGTGGGATGCATGTCTGTAATGCCAAAAAAGCCTGTCCACTTTAAAAACTTTCACCAGCCCATATATTTTCTGACACAAGGGTAGGGATGGGCAATAGACATTTTTACTGTTTAGTACTTGCATAAACCAACCCCCCCCCCCCCCCCCCCCCAGTACTCTTTTAAAATAAATGTATTTTTAGAACAACATGACAGCACTGGAGAAAAAACATTTGTGCATTTATCTATACCTAAAAAATATATACATGCAACAATTTCAACGATTTTACTGTGTTACAGTTCGTATAAGGAAATCAGTCAATTTAAATAAATTTCTTAGGCCCCACTGGGGAGCCAGGCCCAGCCAATCAGAATGAGTTTTCCCCCACAAAAGGGCTTTATTACAGACAGAAATACTCCTCAATTTCATCAGCTGGTGAAGAAACCGGGTGTGGAGGTCCTGGGCTGGCGTGGTTACACGTGGTCTGCGGTTGTGAGGCCAGTTGGACGTACCACCAAATTCTCAAAAATTACGTTGGAGGCAGCTTATGGTAGAGAAGTGAACATCCAACTCTCTGGTGGACATTCCTGCAGTCAGCATGCCAATCCCTTGACACATCTATGGTGTTGTGTGATAAAACTACACATTTTAGAGTGGCCTTTTATTGTCCCCAGTACAAGGTGCACCTTTGTAATTATCATGCTGTTTAATCAGCTTCTT